GGCATAGCCGGTACAGCTCGTCCTGCAAGAACCAGGCACAGCTCAGCATGGACCCCCCAGTCCCCAGGTACCCCCACCCCAGCCCAGCCCATGTCCCTCATTCCTGCCCCCCAGCTCTGCCAGTGCCCCTCACTCCAGACCTGCAGCCCCTGCCCCTCCAGCGCTGCACATCTGGCTGAGCAGGGGCAGCAGCTGTTCCCGTCTGGCTGCCGGCTGCCGGGCCCTGCATGAGACGAGCTTGCTGGGCCTCTGCCCTGCCCCAATGCACACTTGCTCCTGCCTGCACGCCAACTGGCAGGTGCCCAGAGGGGACGGCCATGCCTGGGCCACAGGACTGACCTGTCCCTGGACCTAGGCCAGGACTGGGCCAGGCTGCATGTGTGGAGCTCGCCCAGCCCGGCTTGGGGGTGCTGGGGCTTCGCTTGCCCAGGCTGCTGCCCATCAGCACATCTCTATAGTACAGATTAGCATATATGCAGCTTATTTTACGGAATAGCCAGCTGCGCTACCCACCTGGTCCTGTGGCAGCAGGGGCCGGAGGGTGTAGTGCTGGCTGGAGGGCACGAGTGGGGGTGGGTAGTGGAAGAGCTCGCAGCTGTTCCCCACGGGCAGCAGCGCCTGCAATGCAGGCTCCATCACTGCCCAGCCCAGCCCAGCCCCTTCCCCGTGGCACCAAGGTGGAGGAGTTGCCCCCCTAGGCCACCAAGCAAGGTGGGGGGTGCTGGGGGCAGAACCCAGGTGTCCTGCACCCCTCGATGCACAGTGCCCCTGCCTGAGTGGATGGGCGCTCACCTGCAGCTCCCCAGAGAGGCCACCGCGGCGCACCCAGGGCTCCGCATCCCCGGCCAGGGCAAGGGCTGCAGCACTGCTCTGGCACCCTGGGGGAGGCACGCAGCAGTGAGTCTGCCCCTGCCATGACCCAGGGCCTCGCCTGTGGCATGGGGGACACAGGGCCCTGACCTGGCACTGTCTGTCCCCGGGCCCCTGGCTCCTGCCAGGGCATGGCGGCTGCACCCCGGCACTGGCTCACGGGGCAGCATCGACCTCCACGCTGGGCCCCGGCACTGCCAGCTGAGCCAGCCGAGGGCACCGGAGCCTCTAGCACGCCACGGCCCTGGTGCCAGCCCAGCAGGGTGGGGGGTGCCCCCTACGTACAGCGGAAGCAGCTCCTCCACATGCCCTGCGGGTCGGGGTCAGCGAGGATGCGGCCGTCTGCAAGAGGAGCAACACGAGACGGTCACGGAGCAGGGAGCAGAGGGCCAGGATGTCGGCACAGACCCTGCCTCTACCCACTCCTGAGCCGCTGCACCCGGGGGGCACTGGAGCACGGGGGCCACGGCATGAGCCTGGCCAGGAGGCAAGAGCATGGAGGGAGGCACGTGCCCTGCCAGGGTGAGGGTGGGGGGCATGTACCCCGCTGGGGTACAAGGGTAGGGGGCCATGTACCGAGCCAGAAACTGAGGGTGCTTGGGGGGGCACATAGCCAGCAAGGGGGACAAGGGCGCGGGGGCTGGACGTACCCAGCCAGAGGGCAAAGGCGCGGGCGGCCAGCACGACGGTGCGCAGGTCCCAGAGGTAGCGGTGCAGGTCGTAGCGCAGGGCGCGGCTGGTGCAGCTCACGAAGCGCCCGTGCAGGTGGCAGATGCGGCTGCAGAGCTGCTGGAAGGCCTGGGCCCGGCGCTGCCACTGCTCCTCCTGCCGGGGCAGCGCGAGCGGGGCAGTTAGGGGCAGCCCTGGCCCTGCAAGGAGCTCTCTGCCCCCCTGAGCCCGGCTCCCCCCGACATGTCCACGCCAGCCCCACTCACCAGGTCGGCGTCGCTGGCTCTGCCTGGGGCGCGGGGGCCGCGGCGGTTGGCCTGGAGCCAGCGGAAGTGCTGCAGGAGCTGGGCGGCCTGCGCCCCGTGCTCGTAGGGCAGGTAGAAGAGCTCCACCAGCAGCCGCACCTCCTCCAGCCCCAGCCCCTTTGCCGGGCTACTCTCCGCCTGGGCCCAGCGGGGCTCCGAGCCAGTGCCCGTGCCGTTGGCCAGGGGCAGCACGGGGCTCAGCTTGGTGCTGACACCATCAGCCATGAGCACCGCGGCGCTCTGGATGGCATCGATTACGTGGGCAACGGGCAGTGCAGGGTCCAGGCTGGCACTGGCTCCATTGGCCACGGGCACTGGGGGGCTCCGGCAGCTGTTGGCCGTGCTGGCCCTGGCTGGCGCGGGGTCTGCATCATCGGTGCTGTCAGCCACGGGCACTGGGGGGCTCCATTGGGCGTTGGCCACGGTACCACGGGGAGTTGAGAGGCCTGGGGTGGTCGGCACCTGGGCTGCGGGGGGTGGCACTGGCGCCTCAGGGGCCATGTCCTCATCCCTGCCCATGGGCGCAGCCCCGTCCTGCCCGGTGTTGCTGTCCCCAGGCTCTGCAGCCCCCTCCAGCACCCTGCTCTTGCTGTGCAGCCCCGGTGCCGGCGCCGGCTCCCTGCTGCCCGCTGCTGCGCTCAGGGGCTTTGGGTGGCTCCGGCTCTCGCTGCTGGGACCTGGCTCTGGTTCAGACACCATCTCCTCAGGGCTGCCCGCTGCACGGGGAGAGCGCAGAGCAGCTTGCAGCACAAGGGCACGTGAGGGGCAGGGGTTGCCCCATGGGGAGATGTGCCCCCAAACACCCAGGCGTGCGTGGCCCAGCCTATGGCTGCTTCCCCTGCTGCCATTGCCTGTGTGGTCAATCTGGCCCTGCCCCTGCCCTGCCCCTGGAGGCAGGAGCAGGCCGTGCTGGTGCCCCCCCTCCCTGGGCCCTGGCCGGCAGGGGGACAAGCGGGGGGCAGTGGGGAAGGGAGGCAGGGCTCGGTGCAGACGGGGCTGCGTGATGCTGCACTGTCCCATGCCCATCCCATTGCGGTGCCGGCCACAGCAGCCTGGGCTCCCAAAATGCCCACTGGAGCAGCCCTGGCCCCAACCCCACTGCGCCCCACCGCCCAGCACGTGGCCCCAGCCATGCACACATCCCGTGGCCCACGTGTGCCCAGCCCTGTCCGGGCTCCTCGTGACCCAGGTCCCTCGGCTGCCATGGTGTGGACGCGGCCCCCGGTACCTGGATCCGGCACCTGTTGGCGGATCTCGCCCACCCAGCCACACAGGGCCTGGTCCAGCGCCTCCTGCGGGCTGTAGCTCGGCTCCTCCTGGGTCTCTGCTGCAGCGTCTTCCTCTGGGAGGAGAGGGGGCGTGGGGGGCGGTCACTCCCAGGACACTGCAGCACCTGCTGCTCAGCACCCGCTCAGCGTCAGGGGGCAGAGGGCACCATCCAGGAGAGACACAATCCCCACAGCAAGTGGGGCTGGCAGGGACCCGCAGGGTCACATCCAGTCCCAGCCCTGTCCGAACCAGCCTGGACAAACCCTGGGTCCACCAGGACGCAATCACCCCTGGCAGCCCCAGGCATCGCATCCCACAGCCCCCGGGGAGTCGTGGACGCTGCAGAGCCCCCAGGCCCAGGCCGTGCCCCGCTGCAGAGGAAGGGGAAACCCCCAGTGCGGACCAGTCTGAGCAGGGCGGAAATCCCTTCCTGCCCCAGGGCAGCGTGGAGCTGAGCCCGAGCGCAGGGGCAAGACCCTCCACCAGGACCCTGCGCGGTTGGTCCCACAGCAGCACTGGCCCAGCCCAGCCCAGCCCATTCCCAGCCTGGGCTGCAGCAGCACCAGCACCTCTGGCAGAGGCTTCAAAAACCCCGTGACGGCCACAGCAACAGGAGGGGGGAAAACTTCCCTCCCGGCCCCATGCGGCACCAAGCACAGTCTGGGACATCCCCACAGCAGAGCCCAGCCTCTCCTCGCCCCTCCAGTGCTGGAGACCCCCGGCCCTCGCGGCTCCCTAAGAAGCGTTCCCTGACAATCTCAACCAGCTGTGGGTGGGGCCGGGGTGGGGAGACCTCCCCCAAGCCCACCCTGGGGCCCTGCAGGCTGAGTGGGGTCCCCGGCAGGTGCAGCTGGGCAGGCCAGGAGCTGGGATCCTTGGTGCAGAGTAGGCCGTGCCGCGCCGCACCAGTACCTGTGTGCACGCCGTGTCCCCGCCGGCTGCAGCGCAGCCACGTGCCAAGCGTGTGCAGGGGCACATAGTTGGCCTGGAGCTCGCCGTTGGGGTTGAGCAGGAGCCCGCGAAGCCTGGACATGAGCCCGGGGGGGCGGCCCGTGAAGGGGCCCAGGAAGACGCGGCGGCAGTCGTAGTCGTTGGCATAGAGGTTGTCCCAGATGACGGGGCTGCGGCCCAGGACGCCCTCCACCTCCTCCAGGAGTACCGGCGACAGCTCCCGTGACACCACCTTGGGGCCTGCCCCGGCCCGGCATGCACACGCACACAGCACATGTGGGGCACACGCACAGGGACATGTGGGGCACATGAATGGGGCACACGCACGCATGGGCACCAACCACAGAGACACCATTCGCACAGGCACATGTATGTGTGGGCACACAAGGACACACACAGGGATGTGTATAAACATGGACACGTGCCCAAGGGCGGGTGCAGGCAGACACCGACCATAAGCAGACGTAGATGCACACGCATGGCACACACCCACACCACCAGGGGCACACGCATGTTCAAGAGCACACAGACAAGGGGATGGGGTTTGAGAGAGGGTGCTGGAAGGGGCCAGGCCCCCGTGGCCGCTCTGCCCATAGCCAGTGCCAGCTCAGGGCACCCAGGGGCCACGCGAGCCTGCAGGAAGCAGCCGGGGGCATGTGCGCAGC